TTTTTGGGGAGAATTCCGGGCTTCGGGTGGCTTTTGGGGGAGAAGTCTGGGCTTCGGGTGGCTTTTGGGGGGACAGGTCGATTTTTGGGGGAGAATTCCGGGCTTCAGGTGGATTTTGGGGGGAGAAGTCCGGGCTTCGGGTGGATTTTTGGGGGAGAATTCCAGGCTTCCTGTGTGTGGTGATGCCCGGGGGGGCTCCCCACCATCCTAAGGGGGGGTTCTCCTCAACACAAGGGGGATGGGGAGCTGGCAGCACCCCCAAAGGCTTGGCCACCCCCTCGCTGGGTTTTTGGGGTCCCGGTGACGTTTGCTGGCTCCTTCCAACCCCCCCTCTTTAAATTTTCTCCCACCTTTTTCATCCCTCCTTTTTCTCTATTTAAATTTCCTTCCACTATTGGAAGATCCCTCCTTTATCTTTCTCTATTTAAATTTCCTTCCACCTTGAGAAGATCCCTCCTTTTTCTTTCTCCGTTTAAATTTCTTTCCACCTTGAGAAGATCCCTCCTTTTTCTCTATTTAAATTTCCTTCCACCTTGAGAAGATCCCTCCTTTTTCTTTCTCCTCTATTTAAATTTCCTTCCACCATCAGGAGATCCCTCCTTTTTCTTTCTCTTTTTAAATTTCTTTCCACCATGAGGAGTTCCCTCTTTTCTCTTTTTAAATTTCCTTCCACCTTGAGAAGATCCCTCCTTTTTCTTTCTCCATTTAAATTTCCTTCCACTGTGAGAAGATCCCTCCTTTTTCTCTCTCTTTTTAAATTTCCTTCCACGTTGAGAAGATCCCTCCTTTTTCTTTCTCTATTTAAATTTCCTTCCACCATTGGGAGATCCCTCCTTTTTCTCTTTTTCAATTTCCTTCCACCTTGAGAAGATCCCTCCTTTTTCTTTCTCTATTTAAATTTCCTTCCACCATCAGGAGATCTCTCCTTTTTCTTTATTTAAATTTCCTTCTACCTTGAGAAGATCCCTCCTTTCTCTATTTAAATTTCCTTTTTTTTATTTAAATTTCCTTCCACCTTGAGAAGATCCCTCCTTTTTCTTTATTTAAATTTCCTTCCACCATCAGGAGATCCCTCCTTTTTCTGTATTTAAATTTCCTTCCACCTTAAGAAGATCCCTCCTCTTTCTTTATTTAAATTTCCTTCCACCTTGAAAAAATCCCTCTTTCTTTCTCTATTTAAATTTCCTTCCACCGTGAGGAGATCCCTCCTTTTTCTTTATTTAAATTTCCTTCCACCTTGAAAAAATCCCTCTTTCTTTCTCTATTTAAATTTCCTTCCACCATCGGGAAATCCTTCCTTTTTCTTTCTCTATTTAAATTTCCTTCCACTGTGAGGAAATCCCTCCTTTTTCTCTTCTTAAATTTCCTTCCACTATTGGAAGATCCCTCCTTTTTCTTTCTCTTTTTAAATTTCCTTCCACCTTGACAAGATCCCTCCTTTTTCTTTATTTATTTAAATTTCCTTCCACCTTGAGAAGATCCCTCCTTTTTCTTTCTCTTTTTAAATTTCCTTCCACCATCGGGAGATCCCTCCTTTTTCTCTATTTAAATCTCCTCCCCTGGTGAGTTCATCCCTCTCCTTGCCAAGCTCCTCTCCCCAGCTCCCCCCACGCTCCCGGGACTGGTCCCAGTCCTCCTGCCCAGTTTGGGGGATTATTTACCACCGCTCCCCAGTGTCCCCCCCCCAACTTTGGGGGATCCCCTCCTGCTCTTGCCCATCCCTCAGGACCACCCTGGCCAAACCCTTTGAACCCTTCTCTCTCTCTGAAGTTGCTGCTGGTGTTTTGCTGGGGGAAATGGTGAATTTTTGGGGTGTTGGTGGTCCCAGCAGGGATGGGACTGGTGTTGGGGGGGGGGACAATGCCATCTGGGGGGGGGGCAGGATCTTTTGGGGTGAGGGCAACTGCTGATGCCAGTTGGCCAAAGCCACAACCTGGGTTGGTTTGTGCCACCACCGACGTGTGACCTGAAAGACTGGTTCAACAGGACACCAGGACACTGCTCTCCTCACTGGGGGGGCTAAAAATGGTGTCTGGGGGGGGGACACACACACACACAACTTGCCTGGGCAGGGGGGCTGAGTGACCTCTGTCTTAATGTCATTATTATGTTTGGCCTTAATTGCTTTTATTTTTTGACCCCCCCCTAATTATTTTTTGGCATTTCTAGGCCCGGGCAGTGACCTGGCAGCTTCACCAAGATGCCTCTTCACGGCGCGAGAGCCGCTGCTCTCCTGGCTTGGGTAAAAACCTCCTCTTTCTGCCCCATTTTTGCTCCTTGGGGACACGATGGGGGGGTCAGTTTGAAAATGGGGGGGGGAAATTATGGGCTGGGGCATATCCTGGAGCAGGTGATCCCAGGTTTCCTGGGCAGGAGAAGCCTGGTTCAGCATCCACGTGGAATAACCAGAAACTGTGGAATAGCTCGGGCCGGTGGGTGCTGGGTCTGGTTGTCCCCTCTGAGGAGGGGGAGGTGACAGGGAGAGGGGGGGTGTTTTTGGATTCTCTGCCTTTCTCACCCCCTTTCCCCCCCCGTTTTTAGGTGAACAGCACCAAAGTTTGTAGCGATGCCCTCACTGATCTGTCCCAGCTCCAGGACTGCAAGGTCTTCGTCAGGATCATCAATAAAATGTGAGTAGGGGGAGGGACCTTGAGGAATTCCTGAAGCTCTAACGCCTCAGGGAAGCTCCTGCCCTCCTGCTGTGCCTCTTTTTTGGGTGTAAAAACCACCCTTTGTGGGACGATGAGCCTTTTGGGCTGCCCTGCTTGGAAGCCTCCCTGCTCAGATGCTGGATTTGGGCTCTCCTGGCACCTCAACCTCGAGGAAAAACCTAATTTTGAGGTAGCAGGGAGAAGGTCTGCTCCCCTGTGTGACCCACAGAGCCCTGGGCAGAGCTTTTGGACCCCACAGAGCCCCCCGGGTGGGATTTGGGCTGGAGTTTCTCTTATTTGGGGGCTTATTATCACATCTGGCATCAAGATCTGGGCTTGCTCCTGACTCCAGCGGCGTGGGGGGCTCCTGGAGGTGCTTTATTTCCCTAAAAACTGCTCAGGTGAGAAAAACAGCAAGTTCTCCTGAGCCTTGGAGTCCTGAGAACACCTCGAGGTCTGTAAAACAGCTTAAAAAATGACATTTCTTACCCCGTGAAGCCCCCCCCATCCCCTGGGGAGCGCGATTTGGGGCAGGACAGAGCCTTTTTGCTCCATCCAGGACCCGAGGTGACCAGAGACAAGGCTGGGGAGGAGGGAGGAAGGTCTCCATCAGGAGCCAGAGTAATTAAAACCTGCTGCTAATGAGCACTGGGGCTAAAACCCAGCACCCCTCCCCAGTCGTTAACGAGGCACCCGAGCGCGGCGTCGCTTTCAAACCCTCCCAGCTGCTCTAATTAACCTCCTAACGAGGGGCCTGCTGGGAGCAAGGGCTCTGCCTGCCCGTGGGTGGGTGGGGGGGGAGGGAAGGAGCCCCCCCCTCGCACAGGGGGGGATATATTTAGTCAAAACCTCTTAATCTCCTGGGTCCGTGCTCTGGCTCAAGATCAGCCGGGATCACCGGGCGCTCGCTCAACGGGTCTGGCCCTGGGGTGATAAGGGGGGGGGGG